GCGGGCCAGCCGACAGTGCGACCAAGACGTGCCAATGAGTGCTGGGCACCCCATCTCGGTTTATTTTCTATTTCCAAAGGGAAAACGGCCTCAAATCCAGCCCAGCTGAGAGTAAAGGCTCCCGCGTCACATTCCAGGGGCCAGCCGTTCCCACAAACCTCTGGGGAGAAGCCACCCCACTTCCACCCACGCCATAGGAGACACGGCACGGCGATCCCACGGCACCGGGATCCCTCCGCTCCCTCTGGAGCCAGAAGCTGGCCGGCCTCATCGACGGCTTAATCCATCTCCCAGCTCCTCCGGCTCGGGGACCTTTCCCAGCTCCGCTGGAGCTGCAAGTCCCATCCGGTGTCTGTCTGTCGAGGCTTCGCCGGCTCCCGACCGAACCCGGCCGCGGCGTGCTTCCCAGCGGCACTGGGGAAGCCGGGCTATTTTTAGGAAGGTGGGTGATGATGCAGTTTGCAAAATTCAGCGTTTTTTTTCCTTGCAGAAGGAATTGCTGCCCCCCTGCGGCACCGCCGGCCGGAGCAGGGACCAGCAGCATCTCAGCCTGGAAAAACGGCACGTCCACCTGGAAAAATGGCACCTTCCCCTGCAAAAACAGCACCTTCCCCTGCAAAAATGGCATGTCCACCTGGAAAAATGGCACCTTCCCCTGCAAAAATGGCATGTCCACCTGGAAAAATGGCACCTTCCCCTGGAAAAAATGGCATCTCAGCCTGCAAAAACGGCACATCCACCTGGAAAAACAGCACCTCTGCCTGGAAAAACGGCACCTTCCCCTGAAAAAACAGCAACCCTACCAGCAAAAATGGCACCTTCACCTGCAAAACCACTTCTGGGCAGAGCATCAGGGCCTGGGACCCCCGCAGTGCCTGGGAACCCCCCTGCAGGTTTTTAGCAGCACTCAGCTCTCCTCTCCCAGGCTGCTTTCAAAGACAATACCCGTCGACTGCTTTGGCCAACGTGCTCTTCTTGTCGTTAAGAAGAAATAATGAACTCTGGGGCTGCTGGAGCTGGCGCAGACAGCCCCCGACCAGGCTCCGGCCGGGGTGCACGATAACGAAGTGTCGCTGCAGCCTCAGTGAAGATAAAAACAGACGCGGGAGTTTCCGGGCCACTTGCTGCCTCCTCTATTAGCCAGCCCTGCTGGGAGCCCAGGGACTGCTCACCCAAGATGGCTTCTTCCCCAGAAACCCCTGCACCACCATCGACGGAACGACTACCAGCACCTTCTGGGGGGGAAACGAGGCGGCGGGAGGCTCCAGGTACGGATCGACCACCCATGTGCGACACTGGGCCCCTGTCCTGCTTCCCAGCCCCCCCAGCCCCTCACTTTCTGGGTCCCGCTCTCACCCTTCGGTCTCAGCCCGGGTTTTAAGGCAACACAAAACCGCACCCGGCTCCTTCAGCTGGGCACCGGGAAGATGGAGCCATCCCGCCCTGCCAGGGATGCTGGGATCTGCTGGTCCCCAGCACTCCGACCCAGTTGTTCCTCAGGGGTCAGTACTGGGGCCAG